ATATATATATACATATGAAGAGGATAATATAATAATATCAGTTTAACTTTTATTAAGTATTACATCATTCAATAATTTTATATTAAATGTGAATTTTGTAAATCCAACCGTTAAATTAAAAGTTCATATCACTTTATATGTGTCTATCAAATTTTGTTAAAATTAAACAATAACTTGAAGGTAATCAAAATATTCATATTTTAGGGTATTTTGAAATGTATATATTACGTCAATTTTGTTTTATAAGAATGAAGTATCAAATCATCTTGGATTAATATAAAATTTTGTATATATGATCTAAGAGTAAAAAACTTTCAATCTAACGATTAAATTTATAAAATTTAATATTTAATATAAAGTTATTAAATGATAAAATATTTAATAAAAATTACACTAATATTATTATAATTCTTCTCATATATTGATGTATGAGAAGTGTTTAACACTATATATATGAGAACCGTTATATTCATAAACTTTACATTTGAGACTCGTGTGTTTCCTTCTTCGTATTTCTTGTGTTCGAATGTATGCAAATATAATGTTAATTATTTATTTAACTCAACTAGCTAGCTAAATAGTTTTAAATAATATTAGTAATGCCTTACATTCCTACAATTTACACATTTTACATCGATCGTTGAACTGATATAAATTCAATCAATTTCCAGGGTCAGATGCTTTTACATTAGATGTTAAATAACCGACAATAGAAAGTGAAATATTATTACATCAGTTCTTGAATAATTGATGTACAAAGTGGTTGTGTTTATTAACGATCGCACCACGGTAAACAATAATTATTATTTTGTCACCACCAGATTGGCCAATGTAAATATCATAATTTATATTAAATTTTAATAATTTAATTATTAAATTAAAATTTCTTAATTAAATTTATAAATTTTTGAAAAATTTAAAAATAATTTGATACTTTATTTTATTAATTTAAATTGAAAAATATTTATAAAAATATTTTATATGTTAATTTAAATTTATATAATAAAGAATCATGTAATTTTCAAACTTGATATATACATTAAAATCTTTTAATTTAGCATTTGGAATGTTAAAATTTAATAATTGAAGTAACTTAAACCTTGGTATATTTATTCAATTCAATAACTCATATGTTTAATATTAAATTTTAATGATCCAACTATTTAGTTAAAAAAAATTTAAAACGTACAAATTTAAGTTTACAAATTTTTGGAAGGTTTGAAAATTATATGATACTTTGTTATATAAATTCAAATTAACGTATAAAATATGTTTATGAATATACATCAATTTGAATTTATATAACAAAGTATTAAATAGTTTTTTAATTTTTCAAAAACTTGTCAATTTGATCTATACATTAAAGTTTTTTAAATTAATAGTTAAATTGTTAAATATTAATATACATTATTATTTAGTTAAGCAAATCTACTAAAATTTACTCTTGGAGTAAGTGAATTTCTCCCGTTATATATATATATACATATATATATATACATACATATATATATATATATATATATACATATTCATAAGGAGGGATCCGTTTATTCCAAGAGTAAGTCTACCCAGACTTGTTCCATTCAATAACTCATGTTCTACATATAATTTTAATGGTCCAACCATTGAATTTAAAATTCTTAATGCATAGATCAAGTCTGCAAATTTGAAAAAAATTTAAAAATTATTTGATACTTCATTTCATTAATTCAAATTGACGGATAATCATAAAATTATTTCATACATTGATTTGAATTAATGAAATGAAGTATCAAATGATTTTCAATATTTTTTTAGAATTTGCAGATTTGATCTATGCATTAAGAACTTTAAATTCAACGGTTAGATCGTTGAAATTTGATGTAGAACATGAGTTATTGAACTAATTAAGTCTAGGTAGACTTATTCTAGAAGTAAACGGATTGCTCATCTCTGTCTCTCTGTCTCTCTGTCCCTCCCTCCCTCCCTCTCTCTCTCTCTCTCTCTCTCTCTCTATATATATATATATATATTGTTAATTTAAATTTATATAATAAAGAATCATGTAATTTTCAAACTTGATATATACATTAAAATCTTTTAATTTAGCATTTGGAATGTTAAAATTTAATAATTGAAGTAACTTAAACCTTGGTATATTTATTCAATTCAATAACTCATATGTTTAATATTAAATTTTAATGATCCAACTATTTAGTTAAAAAAAATTTAAAACGTACAAATTTAAGTTTACAAATTTTTGGAAGGTTTGAAAATTATATGATACTTTGTTATATAAATTCAAATTAACGTATAAAATATGTTTATGAATATACATCAATTTGAATTTATATAACAAAGTATTAAATAGTTTTTTAATTTTTCAAAAACTTGTCAATTTGATCTATACATTAAAGTTTTTTAAATTAATAGTTAAATTGTTAAATATTAATATACATTATTATTTAGTTAAGCAAATCTACTAAAATTTACTCTTGGAGTAAGTGAATTTCTCCCGTTATATATATATATACATATATATATATACATACATATATATATATATATATATATACATATTCATAAGGAGGGATCCGTTTATTCCAAGAGTAAGTCTACCCAGACTTGTTCCATTCAATAACTCATGTTCTACATATAATTTTAATGGTCCAACCATTGAATTTAAAATTCTTAATGCATAGATCAAGTCTGCAAATTTGAAAAAAATTTAAAAATTATTTGATACTTCATTTCATTAATTCAAATTGACGGATAATCATAAAATTATTTCATACATTGATTTGAATTAATGAAATGAAGTATCAAATGATTTTCAATATTTTTTTAGAATTTGCAGATTTGATCTATGCATTAAGAACTTTAAATTCAACGGTTAGATCGTTGAAATTTGATGTAGAACATGAGTTATTGAACTAATTAAGTCTAGGTAGACTTATTCTAGAAGTAAACGGATTGCTCATCTCTGTCTCTCTGTCTCTCTGTCCCTCCCTCCCTCCCTCTCTCTCTCTCTCTCTCTCTCTCTCTCTATATATATATATATATATATGTGATGAGCAATTCATTTACTGTAGAAGTAAGTCTGTCTAAACTTACTCTATTTAATAACTTATGTTCTATATCAAATTTCAACAATCTAACCGTTGAATTTAAAGTTCTTATGCATATATCAAGTTTGCAATTTTTTTTAAAAATTAAAAATCATTTGATACTTCGTTTCATTAATTTAAATCAATATATAAAATGATTTGATGATTACTTGTCAATTTAAATCAATGAAATGAATATCAAAATAATTTTCAAATTTTTTAAAAATTTGCAAACTTAATATATAAGAACTTTAAATTTAATGGTTGAATCATTAAAATTTAATGAAAATCATGAGTTATTAAACAAATCAAGTTTAGGTAGATATATTCCTAAAATAAACAAATCTTCTCTCTCTTTCTCTTTCTTTCTTTCTTTCTCTCTCTCTCTATATATATACATACATATATATATATATATAATATATATATATATATATATATATATGGGGAGGGTTATAGTAACACCGGTATAACTTTTTGCTAAGTATTATACTGCTCAATACCTTTATATTAAATGTAAATTTTGAAAATTCAATCTTAAATTGAAAGTTCATATATCTTAGATCATATATACAAAATTTTATATTAATCCAAGATGATTTGATACTTCATTCTCATAAAACAAAATTAATGTAATACATTTTAAAATATACTAAAATATGAACACTTTGATTACTTTCAAGTTGTAGTTCAATTTTAACAAAATTTAATATACATATATAAAGTGATATAAACTTTCAATCTAACAGTTGAATTTTTAAAATTTAAAATTAATATAATGTTATTGAACGGTATAATACGGTATTATTATAACCATTCTCTCTCTATATATATATAATATTCCAAGAAGTGGCTAATTTGATCGTTAATCCAAAAAGTAATTAATTAAAGTCTGTTGAACATTTTAATGCATGATCGATATGAGTTCCATACAGTTTCATGTGGAATATTACTTCAATGATTTGGACAATAGATTTTGCGCATGTTGGACTCGACGATCTATACGGAGCGAGCGAGCAAAATTGAAAGAAGGCCTTCTGTGTGTGGAGTTTTACTTTTGAAGGTAGAGATTAAAGAAGTGGCTCATAGATTTGAAATTACAAGGGTGAAGAACTTAACTTGATTGAATATGGTTAATGAATAATGATATCCAGTGCCAGTGGTGATAAGTTATTATCAAGACTGAGAGTCACCCGATGAATGATGACCAATTTCATTAGCAGTTTGAGTTATGCTTTTCAGTCTTTGGAATATTTTTGGTACACACAATTGAAATGGACACATCATATTTGCACGTATACTTGTCTCAACGACTGTCTGTAAATACTATTAGGGTGACAATAGACTCGTTTGTCTGTCTTGACCATAATGTGACGAATGACGAAAGTACATTAGTACATGTTTGGGTCTGTGAGTGTATGTAGAGAGAGAGCGTGGAAATTAAACCACATAACGCGAAAGATACAAGTCCCTGGACCCATTGTGGGCTTTTCTTAGGTGCACGAGGACACAAAGAATTTGTTGTGGGGGCTTAAATAGGGATAGGACCCCCCACATGCTTGTCCTTTCTAATAACTTCACCCTGCAAATTTTCACCTGCTCTTTGCTTCTTTTCCACGTCTTAGTGCAGAGTGAAGAAGATTGATGGGTTTGATGGATTCTGAAATTATAACTATTGCATTCATTCAGAGAAACAACAAGTTCAGAAAGCCATACTCACTTTTTCTCTGAGCCACAACAGTGTATAGATCACACCTCTAATTTCCTTTGGTTATTTATTCGCCACAAATTATTAAATTTTGTTAGTTCCAATGCTATGATCTAATCTTATTTGTTTATACCCATTAAAAGGGACTTGACGGTGTAAGGGAGATATTCTGAGGGAAAGTTGATCAGGGATTAGATTTGGTTCACCAAAAATTCCAAGAAAGAAAAGGTTGAGACCTTTGGTGATCTCGAGGAGGAAAGCGGGGTCAGGTCAGGGTGACTCTCACAGGCATAGAGTGAATGAGGTTATGAATTGGAGGTCTTAATATGGACGTGACTCGCTCCCTCCCTACGAATTGAAGGCCCCTCGTGTCCCTCATACCCATACATATTCTTTCAAGAGAAGGCTTCTGACTTTTCTTGATTTTAATGAGTGTAACAGTGTCTGTGTGCTGTGTGCTGAGAGAGGGAGTAAATAAAGTGACTGACATAACTGGAGGGAGAAACAGAAGATGTTTTCAGCATTTAGCTCTGTACTTACAGACCCAAGACACATGAATATTATTCTAAATTAGAGAGAGAAAGAGAAATAAACCATCCAAGGATTATTTCAATTTCCATCATTTGTAGTTCTATTCTGTACAATTAGGCTTACTGTTTAACTTGATGATTTATAATAACCTGTATATGAGATAAAATGAATGATCGCTTGCTTTCTTAATTTTGGTAAGATGAAAGGTTTTGCTTTTCTTCAGTGTGGAAAAAAAAACCCTAGCCCTATATATTCTTATTTTTTACATGGATTAATATTTTTTTTTTCAATGCTGCAACTTCTGGTATTCTGATCTCACCAGGATCGGATCAGAATTTTACCTGCCAAATTGCAAACGAACATTTGCCTAGATAAAAACAATCCAATGAAGAAGATGTATAAAGGCTATTAATGCGTTTTCCATTTCTATATATTCAACGAAGCTACATATACACATAACATTTTTATATCTACGCAGTTACCATCTAATATAATTTATATTAATCCGAATGCATGCAAGTTGTTGTCAATGTAGCTGCAGTCTATGAGAGAGAGGGAGAGGGGGTCATTCATACTGTTTCACAGTATTGTCTGGAGGTGAATGTGATGTTGGTGGTTGATAGCAACAGTTTCGAAGGGCAAGCCTGCAGGGTACATCTTCGAAGGATATAGATGAGAGAGAGAGAGAGAGACAGAGAAAAGCTAAAAAAACCCTAAGGATGAATGAACTACTACTATTACTTTATTTATTGGATCCAACAAGGATAGCGACTGTGGCTCACTATTTCAGATATTTTATGATTAAAGAAAAGCGGAGATGAAGCTAAGCCTCAGTCTCACGGGAAGACAATGTTGTAGACCGAGATTCATCATCTTACCTTTTTTTGGGTACATGATGAAAACTACAATTCAAACAAGCTTAGATTACAGCAGAGACACAAGTTCAGAGAAACACTGCTCGTTTTTCCTGTTAGTTGAGTTCATCGAACACCATGCCCGATGCACAATGTATCTCTCCAAAATTCTAAAAGACATGGCTGACTAGCAACAAAGATGCGTTGGATTATGATCAGGAAGACATACTTTTACATGAAAACTACATACAATACGTGATAGCTGAACTGAAGCTTAATATCTTGTCTGTGTCTTTGACTGTGACATTTGTTGTATATTGCCCGTAATTAACTCGATTCCCTCAAAATCTTTTTTCATTTTTGTACCTTAATACTTAGGGAAGGAAAATTATAATTTATTATGTGAACAGTGAACTATTTAACGGCTATAGGTTGGTGAAGTAAACTCTCAACGGATAGTATAACAATTCGAATCTAGGTTAATCACCTGTATAAACCGGGGTGATTACTAATTAGAGTAAAAATACATAATTAAAAGAGTGGTCCAAGCAAATTAAAGTGGGGGAAATAGGCAGGAATATATAGCACGAGTAGCAACAAGCGTCTATACCATAGAGTTATTAGGCTTTACAACTAACTAACGTTACTGCTTACTATTCTTAATCATAAATAATGATCGAAAAACATGTCAATTCCGGTTCACATAGCACATGCCTAGAGTTGCATTAATACACGATAAGAGGTCTAGTAGCCACATACATTACTATGCATGTTCTACCAACTTATTTAGGCTCTAAAGAAAAGACTACCTAAGTTCATGGCTATAAGTCTTAAACAATACACGGTCATCATCTAGAAAAGAAAAGGCAACAACAAATTAAATTAAGAGACACGGTAGAGCTTCAGTCACCTAGCTAGAGAAGAGTCCAACTAAGGCTACACAACACCAAGGTCCAAGAGTCCACAATAGACATATATAATATCATCACGCCATCAGAATATTGCAGGCCACTCCTCAAAAAGCATAAACCCTAGAAAGGGTTAATACCGCCAACTTAATTCACAAATTACCTCCTGCTCCTCCTCCCTCACTAATGTCCTCCGAAGAGGAATCAGTCCAGGGAAGAGCGTAAGGAAAAGTATAAGCAGTGGTGGTAGATTGGCGATAAAACCCACTTGCTTCGTTACCAAATCTTGCAGTAAATTGCCTTTGGGGCACTTGTTGAAATGAAGCAAGTCCTGGTGGCACAGAAAGAGATACTGGAGAGATGTCAGTGTAGGAATAGCGTAGCAGATCAGCGTTTGCAGCATCGAGCTCCTTCTGGAGCCTTTGAACTTGTCTCTGCAGGAAAGAGATGGCTCCAACACAGCCGTAAACTGGGTCCCTCACACGTGCCTCTGCTTCATAGGCGAGGGAGTTCACTGCATCCTCCCTCTGGTGAGGGAGAAGCTCGTTGAGGAGTTTGGTCACATTGCTAGCACCGAAAATTTTGTGGACGTTTGCGAATTTTTGAGGCTCTTCGGGTGGAAAGTAAGGTGCAAAGATGCATCCTGGCATGCATTTCCTCCTCAGGAATTTGCAGGCAGCACAGGGAGAATTGTAGGAGCTGGATGAGGCCATTTTTCCTGCACTAAAAAGATTGCCATGATGATGAAATAAACAAGCTTCATATCTATGTCAAGTACTTCTGTAAGCAGTTTTTGATTCAAACTTATATTATCAAAGTTGAACAAAACGGATCTGGTGCGAGTTCAGTTGCACCTCTTAGTTAATATTGTTCTCGGATCTTTATTATTATGGATGGTTACAGAATACATATATATCGCAGCGATACGACCAATCACAAAAGGCCTTTCTAAGGACTTAGAATTGGAAAAGTTAGTCCTATATTTAGAGCCTTAAGGCTTTATCTCGCTCTCCTAAATCTTCCCAAACAAAACAACCCTTAACTCACTCTTAATTTACATACATACGTGCAACGAGATTATATATGTTGGCTGGCATAAATTCAAAGATTCGTTGTCGCTTTCAAGTACAATATTATATATGATTATCTTTATCCCTTGCTTATTTCCTTTTCTGAAAAAGATGTGTTTTCCTTCTTTCCTCTTTTTTCTTTTCTTTTTCTGTTCATGAGGAAAAAAAGAAATCAGTAAAGAATTCTTAGTTTTAAGCATGTTATCTGCAAAGTGTCGATCTGAATCTCTCCTTAAGTTCATGGGTTTGTTTACTTCTTCTGCTTAAATATTTTTTTTTTCTTATCTCAGGAAATTTAATCGATCATATTTATGTTCATACACTGGCGGAGACAAAGAACACTTTTATCTGTATAAATCAATCTTCGGCTGAAGAATTAATTCAGCTGCATGACAAGGTAAGCAAGTCTTAATTTCCTTCTGAAAATATTAAATAAGCTGAGCCAGCTAGGGATCTGGCTGCTGCAACAAGCCATGATTATATTTCATGACTGCACATCAAAAAACATAAAAATGGAAAAGCCCTAAAAAAGCATCGTTTTGGTCTAGCGACCGTTACTTTACTTGAAAGAAACAGAAACAGAGAAAAGAACTATATATACATAAAGAAAAGCAGCAGAGAAGAAAGCTACACACAAACATATGATTTTACCTGTTTTTGAAGTAGGTTTCTTTGGTATAAGATGAACTAAAAGGGAAGTACCTTTTTTCCCTTGTTGGAGGTCCTTCAGAAGCTGTTCTCTTTTTTTTTTCTCCTGGGACAAAGTAGGCTAAGCCAACGAGAGGTATAAGCCTCAGATTTGTTAAAGGATGGAGAACTCCTAAAGAGGAAACCCTAATTAAAAGAGAGGCACAAGGGGAGAGCGACAAACAGATATAGTGAGAGAGAGAGAAAGAGAGAGAGAGGGTGATGAAAAGCTGATAATTAAGTGGTAAAAGGTGATAGTAGTGAGGGGAAGGCAAACAGCATTGAGTGGATGGAGAAGGAATGGATGCAAAAGACAAAGGGAATAAATGGAGGGAGACTAGAAAGAATAACTATGACCTTGCATCCAATAATAATATCTATCAGGAATGTGGGTGGGGATGTCTTACATTCTCCATCCTACTCCAACTCATGCACTGAAACAGATTTATATTTTTGGGAAAACATCAAACTCATTTTTGAACACATGTAAAGGGCATTAGGAAAAGGCCATAATGTTATTTGTAAATGAAATGAATAGAAGGGTAAATAGATTATCATTGTTAGAAATTAATTTACACCGTAAAAAAGAGTTAAAAAAAAGGGAATGGTGTCACATAAGATCAAATTGATAATTATTAACACCGTGACCAACAAATTTTCAAGTCTGTCGAAATGCTTAGTGGTTTGCTTTACTATCATGTTGTACAAGGACACAAAGGGAAACAACGATGCGTGTGTACGTACGATCATTTTCGCACCAGGAGCTAGCAGAGATGGTTGGACTTTTGTGAACCGATAGATCATAATCCTCCCTAGACTCTAAACAATGATGATGTGGTTGTTATTATATTTGTAAAATCAGCATGGTATACATGGTGAGATTTTGAGTACACTGCACCCAACTACCCTCAGTATTTAATTACACAATGACAGGAAGTAGCTTATTTTCACAGATTACTACAGTAGCTTGGAAGATTGACTGAGGATAAACTTTCAGAATATATACTAGATACTAGATAGTTTTGCTCATTTCTACGTATATTTATATATGTAAGTTTACATTGACTATATGTGTGTTATGTTATGTTATATAATAAAATATTGGGTAGAAAGAAACAGAAACAAAGGTGGTGGTTTGTTTTTTCAAACCTGAAACAAACTAACTAAAATTGGATATTTTTAAGAATTTATACTCATTTTAAAGTATATACCCATATAATTGGTGTCTATACAGTAATTTATGATAACTCAATTAATACAGAGTTTAAATTAATTAGTACCTACGTATTTGGAGCCAGAGAATATCTGTTTCAATAGTACTTCGGAATGAATTACGAAGAAAAATGGAATTAAATTTCACATAGAAGTACGTAGTTATGGAACCACATTTACCTTGATGGTCGAATATTGAGAGAAGAACATAATACTAAAGAAGGTGCTCCCGTCAATTTAAAGCACTGTTGTCTGTATAGGCAGTCTAATGAAGCCAGAAAATCTCTTTCCATATCAGAGTGATGATCATTTCGTATAAATGTTAATAAATGCTACCGGAGTTGAAGCTCTAGGTCAAATTTCATTGACTGCGGCTACTCGTTTCGGCTTCATGTCCTAGTTAGATGTAACGTTTCTCTTTATATATATATATATATATATATATATATATATGATAACTTTTATTAACTATTATACTATTAATAATAATTATATATAAAATTGAGTCAGAAAAAAGTAATTATATATAAAATAAAGGTTTTTAAATTATGTTTTTAATCCTTATAATTTAACTTAGTTTATATTTTATTGTTTGTACATAGTTAAAAATTGGCCTTTTAGTCTTTATATTTATTTTTTAAAATTATTTTTACTCTCTATTATTAATCTATTCAAACCATCGTTTCTTTTGTAATAGTATGGTAAAAGTTATCTATTTCCTATTTTTAATGTCAAACTTATTTTACTAATTAGATCTTTCAATATCTCATCTTCTTTGAAATGATGTATCCATGTAAACAAAGGATGTCACAAGCGACGTAAAAAAAATGAAAAATCCATTAACCTAATTTGAGGTAACACCAGAAAAAATAAATTTAATATTAAAATATAAAGTTAAAGACATCTATTATATTAAGATAAAAGAGAATGTATTAGTGGCAATGAATAAAAATGATTAAAAAATGTAAATATAGAAATTAAAAAAATCTATTTTAAAATATAAAGACTAAAAAGTAAAGTAAGTAAAACTATAATAACTAAAGAAGTATTTTAATAAAAAAATAAATATTTTTTGTCCCATTAATTGTTAAATTTTAGTTATATATGAATAAAATATTAAATAATCTTATATTAATATAATATTTAATTTTATAAATTATAAAAGATGATTTTGTCAACTTAGGCATATGTCACATTATTGTATTTATTATTATTATTTTACTTAAATTTCAATTTTTTATTTTTAATTTATAAAAATAGAATACTATATGATAGATGTAAATTGGTCGCTCATAAGAGTGACAAAGTGGGCCAAACCTAGCTAGCCGACCTTTATCCCACCAAAAATTGGCAAGGTTGGGTGAGTTGGCCTTCCAACTTGCTAGATTTTCAAATTTTAATTTTAATTTATTTTGTAACTTATAGTGAGTACATGAGAAGGCTAAGGGTTCTCAAATTCAACTTCACTAGTTCTCATTATCACAAAAGTGGAGGGGAGTTTCTTTCAATAGTGCATATATTCTTTCAAAAGTGCATCTAATGTTCTTGAAGTAAAAGATAAAGATTGATTTGTGTTTTTTTTATCATTTCATGACATTATAATTTCATTTATATTTACTTTGTGAACTTTGTAGACATTGTGTTGTGGTATAGTTTTATTATTGCATAAATATTAATATTTGTATTGTGATTCTTAAGAATTATCATAATTTTTTATTGTTGAAAGACCATTACTATATAGTGATTTTGATTAAAAGAAAAATACTTTCACTAATTTGTAATTTAATCTTTTGTGTTGTAGTGTTGAAGTTGAAGAACTAATTTATGCTATAGGTCCTTTAATTAAATTTAACAATTATCGTAAAATAAAAACAAACCATAATTTTGACCCAATAATCCATTTCTAAACATATAGGTCAAGATTTTCAGCTCATTTTCGGCAATCAGACTAGCTTGTCCCACCCCATTTTTGGTGGGTTGGCGGCAAGGTAGGTCAAAATGAGTCGAATTGGTTTATTTTGTCACTCCTAGTCTTTAGAAGATGCAAAATGAAAAGACAAAATCTATAAATGTTGCATTCATCATTCACATTAATTCCTAGTAGGAGGTTAGACTTTATGTAACTTTATTAGTTTTGTTGACATGACTCATTAATTGTCACATTATCATTTTTGGTGTATGACCACACTTAGCAGAGATAAAATTGAAGTGTTTTGGGTATTTATCTTTCAAATTGATAAAGACTAAAATGAAGACTTTGAGAAAACATGTAAACGCTTTTTATGGGAATAAATTAAAGGCTTTGAAGGAAAATCATTTCATTTTTCTTTTTCTCCTTTCCTCTGTATCTTATTCTTCTCTTCTCACTTCCATCAACGAAATCTAAAACTTTATACTCTTTCGTCTATCTCTTTTCCATACTCTATTTCTTTTTCTCTTTATCTCACTTTTTAATTTTTTCTTATTGTTGCTTGTACCATGGCTACACCATCATGATCAAGAATCAAAGTGTGGTTATTGAAAAAGAGAATGTGAAAAAAAGAAAAGAAAATTGTATCCACACCTTTGCAACATTATGAATGCACAAATTTGTTGAGAGCAAATCTCACTCTTTGTTTCCTTTTTTTTTATTGATCTATTCTTGTACTTCCTTTTCATTTTTTCCCCTTTTCATCTTCCCTTCCACTTCTTTCCCTTTTCATCTTCCCTTCCACTTCTTTCCCTTTTCATCTTCCTCCTCCTTATCCTTCCATACGCATGTAAAAATAACATATAATGTACAAGATATTACATAGATTGTGTTAAAACTGATGTAATATGTGGTGTGATGACTTTTTTAAAAATAATGTCAATTATTATTCATTGATTTTTGCTTAATCAATCTAGAATACCCATTTCTTTTTGTATCAATTTAGTGACAATCGATGTATAAAATCTCTTTTAATAAACCCTAAACTCCACTATCCCTTTTCACGCATTTATTTCTTCTTCCTATACCAAGGTTGACAATCTTCTTTGTGTCTTCAACCACCTCTATTTGTGTTTTTTTGTCATCTTCAATGACAACCTCCCTTCTCTTCCCTTTGTTTTCATTCATGCTACCAACCTCTATAGTTAATGTATAATGCACGGTTGTTTTTGTTGTTTGGCAGCTTTGATTTTTATTGATATACATTAATTAAGGTTTGCTAAATGTGTATATTTTGATGATTGATGATTGTTAAGTGTTTGTTGGATGTCTCATAGACATTAATCATCAAAATTGTATTTAGTTTAGTTCATATATCACTTTATATTTTTATATCAAATTTTGTTAAAATTGAACAACTTGAAAGTAATCAAAGTGTTCATATTTTAGTATATTTTGAAATGGATATATTACATTATTTTTTTTATAAAAATGAAATATCAAATCATCTTAGATTAATATAAGATTTTGTATATATGATCTAAGAGTAAAGGACTTTCAATTTAACGGTTGAATTTACAAAATTCACATTTAATATAAAATTATTAAGTGGTGTAATACTTAGTAAAAGTTACACCAGTGTTATTATAACCCTCTATATATATATATATATATATAAAGAGAGAGGATCCACTTACTTCAAGAGTAAGTATACTTATATTTATTTTACTCAATAACTCATGTTCTATATCAAGTTTTAACAATCTAATCGTTGAATTAAAAGTTCTTAATCCATAGATTAACTCTGCAAAGTTTTAAAAAATTTGAAAACTATTTGAACAAAAGATTTCACTAATTCAAATCAATGTATAAAATATTTTTAAAACAAATAATGATAATGACAACGACAATAAATAATGGTAGCAACGATAACAATCATAGTAGTGGCAGCAACAACAATCATAATAGTCATACTACAATATTAATGGTGACAACAACAATGGATGTTGGTGATGGTGATATTGTGGAAGCGTCAATAATAATGATTTTATAAATGAATGTCTATAATTAAGTTTTAATCATAATCATTAAATATTTTTATTTATAATTTAATAATTATTTAAAACATGCTTTCATTAGATATATACACTCTTTATTAGATGACCAATGTAATCAATGAAAAAATATATTGTAGTTTAAATAGATATTATGGTTTTCTCCCAAGAATT